TACATATATATATATATATATATATATATATATATAAACACATAAAAATGTGTATTGATTTCACATATTAGTTAAATTTTACTTGATAGTTTGTTATTTCTATAATGGATTGTTGGCATATTTTTATGTTTATGTATGATTTTTTCTAGGGGTGAGCATTTTGTAGGTGTGGATGAAACGGTTTTCAATATGATCAAATTAATTGCAATCGAAATTCAATATCTGCAAAATTGAACCAATCAAAATGTTGATAAAATTGAACCGTTTATTTTCGTTTAAACACCTGGTTATGTACAAATCAAAATTTAGTTGTTTGTTAGACAGCTTTTAAACAAACATCAATAATTACATATTTTACACACACACACACACGCATATATATATATATATACACAGCTATATAAATATGTAGAAACATTTCACATATGGAAATGTTTGTAAAAGAAATTCAAAGTGAGTTACAACAATACGCTTTTTTGTAAATGCCATAGTTTTAATAAACGAGACAATTGGAAAAAAACATAAAATGAAGGATCAATGAAAATATGATTTGAAGATAAAAAGCTGTGTGTGTATATATATATATCGATTTAATTTCATGAATCTGGCAATTAATTTCAAAATTTCATTTTTTTTTTCTGGTTTGTTCAATTAAATGAGAATAAAATCAATCCAATAATCGAAAACCAATTATTGAGGTTCTGACCACACCCCTGAATTTATTAGTGTGTTAAAGAACACCTCATTTTCAACAATGTATTCTCCTTCGTAGTATGATATCAGAGCAGAAAATCCCATGGATTCTTCGCACTCTGGTTCTTCCTTTTATTCCCAACAAGCCAGGTCTGCTATTGACAATCCACTTAGTCTAATTTTTTTATTCATCATTCTGAATAGTCTAGCTTGTTTCAAAACAACTAGTTTGTGATAATTATGCTTATTGGATTCAATAACAAACTCAGATTCATTGTTTAATTAATTCCATGACATAATGGTATAGACTTGAATATTCTTTTTGCTTGGATTTGAAGCAAAAATGTTGTTATAACTTATATTTTGAATTGTGTCTTAAAAGAGATTTCAGCAAGTTTTTTCTTCTATGGTTCTGCAATTTTAATCGAAATTTGGAAAGATCTTTAAGATCATTTCTAATAGAGTAATGGTGCACAATTTTTTCATGTACATCATGAATTATTTAATCACTGACACAATCAACCATTCATTAATGTCTGCTTTACAAAATTAAAAACATTGAGAGAGAAATTATCCTATTTCAGACCTTGTTGCACATGTGGAAATATTCTTGTGGAGTCATTAAAGATTTGACAAATTATTTCAGATGGAATATGTGTTGTCATTTCTAATGAGTTTAAATGATTTTCTTACCCAAATAAGAGGCCAAATTCTTCTCAAGAAGAACGCCAAAGAAGTACTTAGTCAGGGGGAGTTGATTCTGTCAATCAAAACATGACTTCTGCATTGCGAACTCGTTCGTGTTCCTAGTCGCCCTTCTGCTATATTTTGATTTATGGTAATGACAAATGTCAAAAGATAGATATAGGCTATTTCACACTCACTACAACTTCCATGAATGGACCATGGAGAAATGCTACAAGATCCATGGTTATGCACCAAAATATAAACAAAAACAAAAGTCCACTACTGCAAATGTCCAGCAACTATTTACACATCATGATTCTGAAATTAACAACTTATTATATAAATAACAAACCATCAACTAATAGTTTGACTAGTTTCTAAAAATCGATTCCATATGCATTCTCGTCTTTATTTGCATGTATTCGTGCAAATTTGTGTTTTGCTTCTGTGCAGTAAGTCAGTATGGGTGTCTTTTTTACATAATGTCGATGTTCCAGAATTGTTCGTGTAGTCTATTTCTTGATCAGACAATATTCTAGCTATCTTGATGACAATCAAAGTGTGTCAGGTTTGAGTCGCACTTAACATCGGCAGTGTCATTTTCACTGTTCAATTATGGAAGGTTCATATGTTGATATTTTGGACACGCTCGATGATTTGTATTTTATGAATGGGGATCACTTGGGTACTTTTGACGGTGATCAAGAGGGTTTGGATAATGATTCATGATCTTTTATTGGCTCATTTGCATTGAGTGAGGATAATTGATAGAATTTAGGTTAAGGTCGATTTAAATTCTTTCACTTTATTTTAAAATAAGTGATTCTTTATTCATATATTATCTTAGGATTTAATTAAAATTTATGTTTAGATGTTCTTATTCAATATTTCTACTTTAATTATCAATGCTTCAAAAACTTTCAATTTGTTGTTCAACGAAAAAATTATTAAAATTAGGCCTCATTTGAGAAGAAAATGAAACTCCATTCCGTCATAGTGAATACCGATGCATCAATTTGTTTTCGTTTGGTGAAACATCTCCTAAAGTTGTTTAAGCAGAATGACAATTTTTTACCAATTTAGGTCGCAAATGACAACGTTCATTCTCCATACATGACTTTTAAAGAAGCTTCTTCAACGAAGCTCCTTCAAACGAGCCCTTAGTAATCCGAGTTTTCTTTTTGGCTGCTTCCTTATTTTTCTTCATAATTCACATAGAGAAAAGAACGGAAACTTACATGCATGCCACACAATTCTTATACATGTAAATATCTAACAGCTAAACTTTGATATTTATATGGATAACACTTTGATGGCATTAATCTATTCATTAAAAAGGTATATTTCACTATAAAAAAAAATGAATAATAATGATATTTTGTTTTAATATAATATTAAAGATTGAAAAATACTTACTGGCATAAGCAGAAAACCTAGGGATATGCTTTATTATACATGAATACACAAATTACAGCAATGGTGGAACGTGAAAACTATTCAGTAGTACCTCACCCCCACCCCAACAGAGCAGTGAAGACCAGCATGCATTATTACTATCATTACATTATTATTATTGTTATTAACATCATCATTATTACTATTATTATATAATTATAATTATTATTTTTCATCTTCTGCTAGCAAGAAACTAAGCAGGAGTTTATTGAACTGATTTGGATCTTCCAGTTGAGGCACATGCCCTGTATTCTTCATCACTTCCAGCTTTGCATTTTCACCCAGTTTCCTGCAATCCCGCTTTGTTATAATTTCTGAATACTCATGTCTGATAAATCTTATAATAAATTGAATGAGGAAAAAAAACAAAAATCTTGCCATAAAATGTACAATGTATTTTGAATTTGTTCAATTTCAACGAATTTCATATAAATTTAATTATGGCACCCTAATAATTCAATCGCATTAAAGTGACATTTAAACCTAAGATTAATTTTGAACTCATTTAAAATTTAAGGTGTTGTGTCATTAAATATGAGATTGTAAGTGTGAGATATATAAAAGCACATATATATATATA